AGAAGGTCATTAGTCACCATTTCGTTGAATGCGAACGAAGTGATAAGAACTTAGTTTACTTTGCCAAGTATTTCTGATAATCTTGGAACTTACCACAAGAGCGTATTCTGGATCAGGATTTTCGGCAACAGTTCCAGTGAGGTTGAGTTGATGCGTGACTTCCGTCTCTGGAGACGTGAAGCCACTTCGCCAAAGTCGCAGAGTGCGTTTACCCGTCACCAGGTAGCCCTTTTCATCAAAGAGGTTAATGTTGGTCCAACCCACTGGGAATTCCATCTGTGATGAGGTTTAGGAGAGAAGAAAAAAAAAACTAGTTCCAGGTCATTTCTTAACAGCGAATTCACAAATGGAGTGGAATTTTATTTAACTTCAAGCAGATGCAGTAGAACAGTAAATATAATACTGGCAGATACTTATGAATCATTAGCATAATAATAAATAGGAGAATAGTAGATATATTCATTTAATCAATAGCCGGCAATAGACTTATAACTGATAGATGCTACTGAAATATTGGCTTATCAAATAGGTAGTAGCTTGGCTGTCAAACTTGTTAAATCGCGAGAATGCCGTTAAACTAGAACTAAGTGAAATCTACTTTGTATTAATTGTAGCAAGTATAGAGACAAACGAAAAATTAGTGCTGCAACGAATGAATGGCTATTCGAGGGATGAATATAGTTAAGCTTACAATGCGACCAGGACGTCGTTTGACTTGGAGCAAGACTACACAGACTCTGGTTGCTAATGGCAAATTTGAGTAGATGAGACGGAAATTCAGGGACTGATTCCATTGTAGAGTAGCTCCAGAGCCAGATCCTGCCATAGCTCCGAGAGTATTCTGCAAAAAAGAGAAGGCAGATTATCAGTTAAAAAAAGACAATAGAAAGACAATATATGATGAAAATAGGAGAAAAGGATTAAAGTTCTAAAACCAATTAATGGAGTCTACCAATGTGCATTGTAATGCACTTTCAATCGATATCTCCCTAAATGACAATACTCTTAATTATATAAGGCGTAAATGAAGCTCTTAACATTATAGGCATAAATTTAAAGAGCAAATAAAACCGCACTACACACAATATAGGCGGGGAATACGTATCGGTTAGATCACATACTTTAGAAAAAAAGGTGTCAAGTTTTAATAGCGGATAATCACTGTGGACACATTGAACGACAAGAGAAAGTCGAGTATACTGAAGTCACACTGTCTAAAAGTAGGCGACTGACTATTTGATTTGAAATTGGCTGGTGGATATATACAGTGATTGTAAAACATCACTCGATTGCTCTAGCTACTTTATCACCAATCAATAGGGGTGTGCGATAGACTTACCTCCACGTGGTGCAACCTGGGCAACGTATACTCATACGGCATATAAGTCTATTAACCGGCAGTTGACTTCTCACTTCAAACTACCTTTGTGTTTGTCTCTTACTTCTTTGAAACACTCTTCTGTTCCCCCCCCCCCTCTCGACTTTTTCAATTTGATGTTCCTGCCCCTCTGTGAAGTCTGAAGTCAACTAAAGGGCTAATGATAACCATTAAGACGCCTGCCATTTGATATAAATAAATATCACTAATCAATATGATCACCAGTTGCTTGGCATATCATATGGCGAACATGAAGCTCGGTTGGTACGATGAAATTAACCCTATGGACTAGTTGTATCGATCAAACCCGTCGGAGGTAAACTGCGCACTTCTAATAAGAGTGACTCCAGAATGCTAATACTCTGTCATAGGCGAGCGTTGAAAAGCACACACTCTCACAGACTTTTAAACCTTGAACTTCAAATAATGGATTTGGGAAGTAGATTACCTGGTAATTGGCCAAAAGTTGTCCTCCATGTGCCAGACCAACCCGAACCATATATTTGCTCACTGATATGCTATTGGCATCGGGAGGCAAGCCTGATGCAGCGGTGGTCGACAGCGGAAGTGTAGAACTGAATGATCCTGAGGAAACAGTTGTTGACAATGTACTGTTTAAAGTCGTGTCACTTCCCACTGACATACCAACCGATGTATCCAATGAGGTAGTTGATAGATCCCCGAAGCTCGATGAACCAGCCAGAAGGGAACTGGCATCTAACTGATCCTAGGGAAGGAGAGGGGAATTTGAGGCGAAAAGTTGACATTCACTTCAGACACCTTTTTAATCAACGTCTATTCCCACCTTTTCCTACGCTTATTTGTCAACTCGTACACACTTCATTCCTCACTTTTGCATTCATATGGACATGATTTTGGCTTATTGGCATCATGCTTAGTGAACTTAAATTTAACCTCATCAGTTCATAAATAGTAGACGAAGGTAGTAACCCGAATAGCCAGTACGCAAGCACTTATGAGCACGCAGAAAAACATGGACCTACAGATAATTGGAACTCAATCCTGTGCTTCTTAAGACGGGAGTCAAGATGGTAGCTTCCTTTCCCTTGTAGACCTTCTTGCGTTTATTTGTCCATTTTTCCGTCTTTTGCGCTCTTATAGATCTCCGTACTCTTTCTTTCTGCGCTACCCTATCCTATGAAGCTGTGGTTTGAGCAAAGTAACCAAAAGACAAAGGCAAACAGACTGGTTAGGCAGAGTCAATTTCCACCTCATCTCAGGAGAAATTGAGTGATAATAGAGGAATGGAACCTCGTCAAGTGAATAGGGAAATCGATACTTTTTTTCACTTTCAACAATGAAATTCGATGTTTTAAGTTATGTAACAGAAGTAAAGGACTAAACCGCCGATTCACCTATTCAATATTCTCTAATGAACCATAAGTCAGTTACCTGACTAGTTCATTGATTGTGCTTCTTAAGTAAATCAAATTGTGTGTCGCATTTCCACTTTTTTAATTCGTCTATAAAACTGCCTCCACATTCCCAATTGTTTGGAGTCATTAATACAAGTTCATTGATGCATAAAGTTATGTGCCCGAAAGGAGTATTTTCGGTACTTTAAACACCCCGTACTTAATTATGGTTTAGTGGACTTCTGAACTAGCACTTGGACAAGTAATGCCACCGCTCAAACAGCTAACAATGGGCCGTTGATATATACTCATTTAATGTACATCACAAAAAGTGGTAAAAGGAAATTTACTTTACTAAAACAAATAATTATCATTATCATTATGAATGAGTAACTGTAGCAACTGAGTTGTAAAATGTACCCTTTTTAGAAATAAAAGAACATAATTTGATGCTGATGACTTACAGAAGATGGAGTTTGAGTGAGTTTTTGAGCTGACCGAACAGTGAGTGAGAAAAAATCCTTTAAAGTCCACAAATTAATACAAGCATCTTCCGTCTCAAGCTCATCTACGGATCCGTAAAGATCGATAACCGAAGGAAGTGGCAACGGACTTGGATCCGTCTCCGTAGATGGAACTTCAACAGGCAGCGAGTCTGGAATAGGCAAACAGAGACATTCCAGAACATCTTTCAGCAGAACCGGTGTAAGTCTGGGTATATCACCACGTTGAAGACAATTTTGAACGTAAGAGTAGGACACCAGAGCACTCTCCCTTTCGAACAAATATTCCTGTGAGCAGCAAACTTTGAGAATATACTGCGGAGCAGGATCGATTTCATGAATTTCTACAGGACCTTGAACTAGCCTTGTCTGCTTGACTATTATAGCCTTAATAGTATCAGCTACTGTTATGGATTTGGAAAGATCGAGGGAAAGAACATGCTGTTTAGGAGGAACCGAGCAGTCCACACAGATAGCGGAAATTGTAATATGAGACAATTCTTGAAGACAGTGCTCGAGAGCGGTGTTGAGAATGGGTTGTCTGGGGGCAGCGGTGAGGTATTGGGCCATGGCAATCGATCCACCGGACTCTAAACGATCGATATTCGCTCGAGACAACTCCAACATGCATTCACGAGCCAGAGCTAACTCGGAGTTAGATTCCGCAGCTGATATAAGTTCGGCCTGAGAGATTGTAGATATTCTGGAATAGCAAAGGAAGAAAGCATCAAAATTTATAACAAACCAATAAGCGTCTAGGACCGAGGAGGATAGTTCACGAATCACCCTGATGAAAAAATCGATTCATGTCACTAACTTTTCTAACGAGATTTAATAATTGCACACCTACATTGAATCTCTTATTTTCGAATTCATAGACAAAAAAATGTTCACATCAGTCAATTTCGGACTGTCTTCTATGCGAAGAAAAAGAACTTCTCAATTCCAGCCACTTTCACCAGCCCCTGGAGACAATAAGTGATAATGATAATTTCGCATCATGACAGAAACTATATCAAGCCTTCTTCGTAAATTTAAGATTCAATATGATTTTTTCCAAACTTTAAATAGAACACTGAGATGAACGAAATCGATAAAGTGATAGAATTTAACACCATTCTCTTTTATAAGAAAAAATTTGACCACTAGAGGAGGAAATATGAAGCAAATTAGATTAGAAACTTAACCATAAATATCAAAAAGACAAAAGTCACTAACTATCAACACCGAGCATTGAGAAATAATTTGCAAAAATCACACAAAGAGGCAATTGAACAATAACACTTTAGCAATTTGCAAAGGAATATGTTCTGAAAGGTTTCACCGACCATAATCACGGTGGAAGTGTTGTAAAGACCTAACTACTACTTATCATAAGCTTATTACTAGTGAAATATTTTCAATCTATACATTAATATGCAAAGACTGAAGCCAAGAAATTGAATCTTACAATCAGTAAAATGTTAATAAGCAGCTCAGAAAAATTTAGATGGTTAAAGCTTAAACGCGAGAAACACAGGAACTAAATCGAAAGACAAAGTTAACTCGAAAAATATATCATAATCTTGCAAAAAATTACATAAAGCATGTTGGAAATTTCTTCTTCAACCCATATCTAAACCAGAACCTCTGAATATAAAGGGAAATATAGAACCAAAAATCATTCTTCAGAACTTGTTTACGGCACCAAGTCCGGAGAAAAGAGCAAACTGATGACTATGGTATTAAAGATTATTGGACAGCTAATAATTAAATTCGCTCACTTGGCTATCATGGCATTTCTCTTGTTCTGTTCAACAACCCGAGTGTCATCAGCGACTTTTTCAAGCCGAAGCATGGGAAGAATGAGTTGAAGGCTTGAGAATTTGAATTGTTCATCGTAAAACTCTTCTTCCTCAGCTTTAGGTGCAGAAATTCCCTGGAAGAGATAATCACCAGGGGGACCAAGTTGATCGAAGAAGGGCTCCTTTGAGGCTAACATCCAAAGATACATTTTTAATTCGCATAAACTCATCTCCGGATCGGGCTAAAAAAGGAATAAATGGAAATATAACAATAGCCATCAGTTAATGCATTATTTATGAAAGCATTATAGGTGTGAATTAAACATATAATGATTTGATTTAAAACATTCTAAAATTAATACCAAATGGAAATGCATACCTTAATTGTGAGAACAATACCATTAGGCATTAAGAAGTCATGGTCCATGGTTGAGCAATTTTGAAAGACACATTCTAAGCTCTCCAATGTGATAGGAGCCATTTTCACATAAAATCTAAACTTTAGTAACTATTCATAAGATAGGATCAAAATAAAAATGCACACAGGAAATGTTTCACATAGTAATAAAAAAGGAAATCGAAATAAATTAAAAAATAGATGCATTTTCTGTCACAATGGTTGATTGTTATTGATATTTAAATAAGTATATGCTAAATAAATAAAAGGAGTATTAAAAGCCTACCAAGAGGGTCTGCAACCAATCAGGCGCCCATCCTAGGATTAGCATGAAAGGTCAATTTCATTTGTTTTCAAGGTCTGAATAAGTAAATTATGGATAGAAGAAAAATCTTTGTGTGGAATTAATAAATTAATACTTTAGAGATTTATAAACAAACTGAAAGAAAAACGCATTAGGTCGTATTTTAATTTATTTTATTGGTCTCTCGTCAGCACTCTTAAAATGATGACCTGTGGTTTGAGAAGAAAAAATGATAATGCGCAACAAGTTTGACGTAGTGACTAAATCAAGGAAACAAGTACCACAGTAAAAATGAGTTTCTGGGATAAATGTGATTAAAATTTTTTCAACGCTTCCAGATATGTGCTTTCGGACAAGAGTGTGCGACAGACATACCACCTTGTGGTACACCCTGTGCAGCGTATACTCATAAGGCAAAAAATATTAACTTCAAATTATCATGACCCTACTGTATGTTATATTTGCCCACTTTCACAGTACTCAGCTCAACTTTCCTCTGCCTTTGTGTCTGTCTGTCTGTCCGTCTCTTTTACATCATTGAATATCTCTTCTACTCCCTCTCTCGAATTTTTCCCACTTTGATGTTCCTCCACTCTGTGAAGCCCGAAGTCAGCTAAAGGGCTAATGGTAATAATCAAAACGCCTACCATTTTATATTAATAAATAAATATATAAATGCCTTTTTTACATGTAAATTTGCATTTGGCTGAGATAATAATAACAATAATAATTTAAATTGCTTTCTCTTCTCTAATTTTTATGTGAGGGATCGATTTTCAGCAGTTTCAATGAATTTTCAAGATAATAGCATGCAAATTTAATAAATGAGATGTTAAAGAGCAATTTCATTATTCACAGTCCTATCTAAATATTACGACAGCACATAACACAGAAATTGGATATGGTAGCAATTTAAGATAGGATTTGAGACACTGATCAAAAGAACGTTGGAGAAAGTATCAAGCTTTCAAAGTCGAATGCGAATATATATTTCAAATATAGGCTTGCATAAGATAACCCGGAAGCCTCACAAAGCTCCAGTTTTACATGACCCTTTTTATCCTCTCTTAAGATCGACATAATTCTTCTAATTTCCTAGATTCAATTGGCTTTAATAATTACTTTTCTATCCCTATCTCACATGGAAATTAACATTTCCCAGTCTTATTTTTGAATGGCTGTGATTGTGGCTTGGGGGATAACTAATAATTTCACAAAGGGTTAACCAGCCTAAATTACTCGAGATATAAAGAACCATCAAAAATTCAATTAGTTTTCCATAAAATTTTCTACAGCTTAAGTTAAAAGAGAGTCACATTATTGCAAATAACCATTTTTTTAATTATCCAAAGATGAATAGAAACGACTCCGAAAATTTGTGAAACATACTCTAATTAAGATCATTTCAACACCTTAGATATTTTTTTAAGAAGGAAAATAGTGGTTGTGCTACATGGGCATAAATTACTTAAAAGCATTGCCTTTAGTATTTCACCACACAAAATTCAAAATTGGAATAGTTTAATCATGCGTCAGCTTTTAGTATTATGGTATAATATTCTTAATCTGTTTAGTTTTAACTTATAATAGTTAATATTAGCCTTCTAACTCAAGCTTTTAATTTTATTTCGAAAATCACAGTACTTTTCAGTAGAAAGAACTCTAATATAAGAAATAAATATTTACCATGTTAATTAAAATAATAATAAATTAGTTATCTTGATAAACAGATTAAAAAAATAATCATTCTATTTCCTTCTTTTAATTTTTAAGCAGCATCTGCACTGATTGAAAAGACATGAAAGGTCGATTCTAATTAATTTCCATATAAATGGGTTCAAATATTGTTAAACCAGCTTCGTCCAAGGACGGTTCGGAAAAAACTGAATTTTCATCAAATTTTAATCAACAGACAGATGATATTTCTATTGGTGGTGAATGCCTCTCGTCAACCTCTGTTGATAAACAGCACACAGTGGCTTCAGGATTTGACAGCATCAATTCTACGGATCAGTGTATTATGATTGTACTCTATGATTTTTCTGCCACCTTGGACTCTCAGTTAACTGTTAAAAGAGGTGAAATTTTGCATGAATTATAACATTCCTGCATCTAATTTTTGCGAGTATCGTATTCTATTGATTTTATCTTGTAGGTGAAATCGTTAGACTTCTGGGATATAGCCCTGCTGGTGATTGGTCAGAAGTTGAGGCTCCTTCGCGGCTCCCGAACCGCAGTCCAAGAGTAGCTTGGGTCAATGGAACTAATTCTGGTTGGGTTAGGGGTTGGGTACCAACTAGCTACTTAACTGAGCATGTACGGCCTACCCCTCCTCTCCCTAACCCAACAGCTTCGCCATTCACCAACGCTCCTGATTGGAGAACTCATACTTCTAATGAGTCCACTTTAGTGGCATCCGAAGATGCCTCTACTTATCCATGGTATCACGGAGCAGTATCCCGCCAAGCAGCTGAACAACTACTACGAAGTGGAATTACTGGTTCTTATCTTGTGCGAGAATCAGAATCAGCACCAGGGCAGCTGTCTGTGACTGTTAGGAATCTTGGTCGAGTATATCATTATCGCATTAGCAGGGATACTTGTGGATGGGTGCGTTTACATTTCGAATTATTTCTTACAGAGCTATTAATTAATTGTATTATTGAAAATTGCTCTTCCTGTTCATCAACGTTTTCTGTTATATTCTAAAATGGAGATCTTTTTAATTTCTCAACTTCACTACTCGCAAAATTGAAGTCTCACTACTTTTGTCTTAGTATGCATCATTCGATGTTGAGCTCCTTGTTGAAGTGATTGAACTCATTCACAAATAGCAACATTTCTTGGCATCTAGTTTTCTTTGTGTATCAAGTAAATTGCTATCGGTGCTGTTGCGTAAATAACTATGTAAAACATTTATTTTATAACAAATGGCAGGCGTTTTGATAGTTATCATTAGCCCTTTAGTTGACTTCAGGCTTCATAGAGGAGAGGAGGAAAATCAAAATGTGAAGAATTCGAGAGGAAAGAGGGAAGGTCCATCAAAGTAGAAGAAAGTCAAGGGGTGGGAAAGGAAAATGAACATCAAAGTGGCAAAAAATCGAGAGGGGTAAACAGAAGAGTGATTCACAGATGTAAAAGAGACAGACAGACTGACACAAAGTGAGAAGAGTGATTCACAGATGTAAAAGAGACAGACAGACACCAGGGCTCGGAAAGGATACGATGAGTACTGTGGAAGTATTCGAATATGACTTACAGTGGGGTGATGGTAGGTTGGAGTCAGAAGTCAACTGCCGTTTGATAGACTTTTTTGCCGTATGAGTATACGTTGCCCAGGGTGCACCACAAGGAGGTAAGTCTATCTCACTCCCACTATGTAAAACAAAGATGAGCTCTAATTTTAATATCCAATTAAACGGAAAATGCGTACATTTTGTTATTTGATAGTTCCTACTTTATCATAAATAGGGATGATTCAATTTTTTCTTTACTAGTTTTCTTCATTTTCCCATTTTTACGGACATTCTGATTCGAGTTTCATCTTCCTATCTATTCTTCTCGCCTAAAAATGTGCATCATGTTCTGATTTACTCCTTAAAGCATTTTTCGCGTTAATTCAATTATATTAAAACAACTACTTGGGATTTTTTTGAAATAATCTCAATTTATGCATTTGAACAACAACAACTTGTTATTTTAGTTGTCGGTCTTTCTTGCGGAGAATCCCCACTTCTAAAAGTCCTTTTTTTGCTTACAGCATCTTCCTCTTTTTCATGAAGGATGTTTAAATCAGAATAAATAAACGTTGAGGAAAACATTTCTCTTTGGTACGCATGCTTTATTTTAGATTTAAAATAAGGACACTAAGATTTCTTTTCATTTGTTGAGGAAAAACTAAACTTTGTTCAGTTGTTGGAATCTCTGGCGTAATCTTACGCTTTCTTAGTCCAAGTTTATATTTTCTTCCTAAACAACGTGTTTTTTTGCATATTTATTTCCATAACAAAATCGATGTTTCTTTTGAAAGAAAAAGGATTAAAGTTTATTCTACTTTTGTATTCATACTCCGAATCATAGGAATGCTGTTGACTAATTTCTTCCACTTTTTTCGAGGCTATAGATGTCTTGTTTTTCTCCAAACTGACACCCACCTTTTTTCGTGCTTTGATTCCTCCAAAGATAGGCATTGTTACTTTGTTGTCTCGTCTTTTTGCTTTAAGCAATATGCCGTCTTTGCTGGTGACGATAGTCATCGTTCCCTTTGTCGTATTGTTACTTGTGCTTTCATCCTAACCCCCTCCCCTCCCCTCCTTCTGTCTTACCGCCTTTGGCCTCATATCAGGGTGGCCGATTTTGTTTCGGTTCCATTTTTGCGCTTACTTCACACCTGTATTTCGCATAGCTGCGAGTTTTTAATCCAGGTCCAACGGACGCTGGAGTAGAAAGAGAACAACAACTTCTCTCTCTCTCTATAAAAATGCAATGAGCTTCTTTGTTGTGGTCCCTTTCATCTACCCCCTCCCTCCTACGGACTCCTCGCGTCACCTCTAATAGTTCAACTGTTACTGAGTTTTTATTAATGCGCGGTTGCACCGTCTCTTCCACTGAAAGAGAGGGCAGTTGGGGGTGGTGGGAGGCGGGGGGAGGTGGAACAGTTGTCATGCTCGTTGGTGGTGATTCATCTGGTCAGTAGGTTTGGTGGTATCGATGTCCTACGTTTTCTTACTATCTAGCTAATTGATGTTATCGGCATTTTGTGTTGGGTAACTTTGCATGTTGATTTTATCAAGGAGATTTGCCTGGGTTTGATGAAGTGCTTGCCAACTTTTGTTTCGCCATTTAGTCAGAGTAAATGTTTGTCTTGCTACCACATCACTGTGCTAAAGAATTATTATTATTATATCAAATGGGAGGCGTTTTGATTGTTATCATTATTGTATAAATGAGTGGAATCAATATTTCAGTGTACGCCTTGCTCACAGTTTCTCTGTTTTATATCAGATAACCATTGAGTCCATACAAGTGTAAAGTTGTCCAAGATATTTGGAAAAGAAGTTGGTAATAATGGAGTGATTCTATCAATATTCGCTCTGTGTTGGGTACTTATTACCATTTATTAGTGAATTGCAATTTTCTGGTTAAAGTACTCCTTCACATGGCAAAGATTTCCCTTCTATGTTTTTCTTTCGCTCGCATTAGATTATTCTCTACAACTGAGAGTGAAAAACGTCGAGAAAATTATTTTTTCTGAATTTTTCTGTTAATAGAAATAGAATGCAACATCCACACACAATGTGGTCTAATTTTGTAGATCTTGAAATGATTTGAAGGCAAGATCGTTGGTAATCGATGCTTTTCTTCAAGCTATATTATTCTATGATGACATATTTATTTCCGTCTATCCCCAAAGCTGAAAAAATATATATCAACTTGCCTCTCGTTTCACTCTTAATTGATTTATTGTCACACCACTTGTCTAACCTTGCTGCTATGAGTCGCATAATAGCCATTGAAGGGAAATAATTCAAAGTGCTCCTTCCTAAACTCTCGCAGAAAAAGTAAAAGGACACAAAAGCGCACGACTTTTCATTTCAATTTCAAATTTAGGCGTTATTCATTTGTCCAGTAGCCACACCACTTTTAATAGAGAATTTTTTTCTCATTTACTTGGGTTCTGGGCTAGTCATTGTAAATTCCCTGTTGAGTACTTTTATCCACGCCATTTTATTCATGAGAAATTGTATGAATTTACTAAAGCCTTCCTCAAAATTTACATCCTAGAACATTTGCAGCGATTGTGACCATCCCTATCACTTGGAACTTGATTGAAATATTCGTTGACTAGTAGCCTGTATGATTTAAACTCCTTTCCTTGTCAATGCTAGGTGTGGATTTTTATAAAAGGGTGTTAGTTTAAAATCCGTGACTATATTTTTAATTTGTTTACTCAATGAAACCACTATTCCTTGTTATTACCTACCTAATTGCTTGAAATTTCGCTCACCTAGGTTATTGGAGCGTTTATCCCTCTGTATTTGTGAATCAGCTTAAACAAAAGAGCTGCCACAACGGGTAATATCCATTAAACCTTTATCACCTTGAAGGACAGTACGGTCCTCTTTCAAAATAAGCTCCATTGGTACTAGACTCGTAACAGAAGCGGCGCTATTGCCATTTGAAGCATGTCAATACGTGCCTATGTAGCCTTCGCCTGATGCACCACCAAACTCATCACGTCACCGTTATCAGTCTGCTGTGAGACATGCGTGAGCGCTGTTGGGTGCATTTTAAAAACAATAATTCGGGCATTATAGGGTAATTACACTTTTCGGAAGAAATGAGAACCAAAGGTACAACATGTCTTTAATGTGAACCCTTTATTCACCAGCACCTAACCTTGGCGTTCTAGTTAAATAGCAATAATGTCGATTGAAAGGTATTTTCCAACAGCAAAAGGTAATATATCGCATTCTGGATTTATACCAATAGTTGCTGCACAAATTCGTCAATTAAAGTTTTTTGCATCAGAGTGGATTTTCAGAACCTGATCCGTTTTGACAAGTTGAATTCAATCATCTATGCCTCTAGACTAGGCTGTAGGTGGTCGGGAAGTTACACGTTGTCAATTTTGTCTATTCATTGACATCTTCATTCTCCTCGGCTTATGTCTAATTGGGCAGTGGGATGCTGGTGACGACGTTTGCTGATTCTTCTCTCTCCTTGGTATGAATCACGGGGGGGGGGGCTACGAAATTCAGTCTATCGATCACACTCTAAATTAGCTTTAGCTGTCTACATTTTTTCGGTATGCGTTTTTTTATTAAGGACATCATGTGTGTCAGTGTGTGCATCCCTGGTTTTTTTTCAATAGCTGTTCGACTGCAGTGACCTTGCACCTCGTGGCCGTACTCCGATGTGCAGTCTACGACTGTCTGACCCATTTGACCTCAATTGGTCCCCGATAAATTTAAAACAAGGAGAGTTTATTGCTCGAACCTTTCCATGTGGAATCATCCAATGGTAAAAGGAAGACCTCTCATTTATGACTGAAGCAGTCAGCGCTATCGTTCCTCGTCCTGTTTCTGAAAACAACATGAGGCTTTTTTTAATAAAAAACTGAAGTATTTCAAATTGACCGAGATTCCATTATGGAGTTTTACGGCATAGCTCTTGATAGTATTTCCATCTTTCCAGGTGCGTACATCTGCAATGCTTCATCGACGGTATTCTCACGCTCAAAAGACTGCTTTTCGGGCATAAAAGCATATATATCGATAAGTTGGCACGTTCTTGCACTTGTTTAAGGCGCGAAAATCCCTTTGTTAGGCCATTTTCCAAATCACTGTACCTTGTTACTCCCATTTAGCAAGAATATTTGCTTTTGAACATTGGTCATGAACGAGTTTTTTTTGCCATCAGGAGCATTATTAAGGCTTAGGTTCACGGAGGATATATGGACGTTTAAGGAGGAATTGCCAGTGCTTATCGTTACCATTGAGGTTACTTCAGAAGATGCCTACTTCTTTGTTAACATTCCCTTATGAATTATAGTCGGATTGTCCGCTATCTGGGCTGTATTCGGGTCTCAGTTTCCCACCACAATTGAAAGTCCAGACTATTCTTAGTTGTCGGCCTTTTTGCAGTCAACACATTTTTTTTAAAAGTAGGAGCTTGCTGCAATGTGCAGAATTCTTGTTCTTATCCGA